CTCCTCCTCCTCCTCCTCCTCCTCCTCCTCCTCCTCCTCCCTTCATCATCATCATCATCATCATCGTTGTCATCGTCTTCATACTCCGGGGAGGCCATCAGGACTTATTTTCTCTGCAGCCACCTTGGTGCCCTGCACACGCACCGCCTCATTTGAACCTCACCGGGGTGGAAAGTCCGCTGATAACACACCAACAAGTAGTGTTCATGAGGGGTTTTCCAGCGTCCCACACTCAGTAAGCGTTGGAGGGATGAACCCCGAACCCCTGAAGTACACGTTCTTTTATTCCCGTGGCAGTGATGAGAGGTCTGGGGCTGGGACGCTTCTAGAACGGTGAGGATGGAAGTCCTCACGTGCATGCTGCCCTCCAGAGACCCCTTCCCGGCGCTTGCCATAACCACCCTGTCAGATAGCTGCTGCCCTCCCCGTCTTATAAGTGAGGGACCTGAAGCCCAGAGAGGCTAAATGACTTGTCCAAGGTCATAGCTAGTAAGTGGCAGATGAACTTAACTCATCATCCTACAAGTGGGGTATTGAACTCCGGTTTGGTTATTCCAGACCTTGTGTTCCAAATAGTCGTAATAATGCTGTGTTCTCTCACTTACCTTTTCTTTTCCTTCCCCAGAATCAGGTACTGTGCCTGGCACACATGTGCACTCAGTAGTTTGGGTGGGGTTTTTTGAGCTATAATTAACATATTAGTGTCAGGTATACAGCATAATGATTCAATATTTGCATATATTGGGAAATGATTGCCACAAGTACGAGTCTAATTAACACACATCACTATACATCATTACATAATTTTTTATTTTAAGTAGGCTCCACACCCAGTGTGGGGCTTGAAGTCACAACCCTGAGGTTGAGTCGCACACTCTACCAACTGAGGCAGCCAGGTGCCCCTGGAAATTTGTATCTTTAAACCACCTTGGGGTGCCTGGGTTGGTCGGTTGAGCATTGGACTTCAGCTCAGGTCATGATCTCACGGTTCGTGGATTCAAGTCCCACGTCGGGCTCTGTGCTGACAGCTCAGAGCCTGGAGCCTGCTTTGGATTCTGTGTGTCCCTCTTTCTCTGCCCCTCCCCACTTGCGCTCTTTGTCTCTCTGCCTTTCTCTCTCTCCTTCTAAAAATAAACAACATTAAACAAAAATTTAAGTCACCTTTATTACCCATTTCTCCCAGCTCCCAACCCCTGCCTCTGGCAACCACCAGTCTGGTCTGTGTATTTATGAGTTGCATGTTTTGTTTTGTTTTGTTTTGTTTTGTTTTGTTTTGTTTTGTTTTAGATCCCGCATGTAAGGCAAATCATACCATTGTCACAGATGGCAAGATTTTATTCCTTTTTTATGGTGAATAATATTTCATTGTGTATGTATGTTACATGCTGTATATTTTCTTTTATTCAGCCATTGATGGACACTTAAGTTGTTTGTTTATCTTGGCACTTGTAAAAAAATGCTGTCATGATGGTGAGGGTGCAGATAACTTTTCAAATTGGTGTTTTTGCTTTCTTCGGATAAATACCCAGAAGTAGAATTGCTGAATCATAGGGTAGTTCTATTTTTAATTTTTGGGGGAGCCTCCATACTGGTTTTCCATAGTGGCTGCACCAGTTTGCATTCCTACCAACAGGGTACAAGGGTTCCCTTTTCTCCACATCCTCACCAACATTTGTTATTTCTTTTCAGCCATTCTCACAGGTGTGAGGTGATATCTCATTGTGTGATTGATTTGTGTTTCCCTGATGATGAGTGATGTTGAGCATCTTTTCATGTACCTGTTGGCCATCTGGATGTCTTCTTTGGAGGAAAGTCTGTTCATGTCTTCTGCCCATTTTTTAAGTCAGATTTTGGGTTTTTTTGCTTGCGTTATATATATTTTGGATATTAATCCCCTTATCAGATAAATTGTCTGCAAATTTGTCCTCCCATTCAGTAGGCTGCCTTTTCATTTTGTTGATAGCTTCCTTTGCCGTGCAGAACCTTTTCAGTTTGATGTGGTCCCACTGGTTTCTTTTTGCTTTTGTTGCCAGTTACTCAGTTTTTGAACGAGAGAATGGCTTATGTTGCTAGTAGGACAAATTCACATACGTCTCATTAGAAACCGCTTTTTTGGGGGCGCCTGGGTGGCTCAGTCGGTTAGGCGTCTGACTTTGGCCCAGGTCATGATCTCACCTCCGTGAGTTCGAGCCCCGCGTCGGGCTCTGTGCTGACAGTGCAGAGCCTGGAGCCTGTTTCAGATTCTGTGTCTCCCTCTCTCTCTCTGACCCTCCCGCATTCATGCTCTGTCTGTCTCTGTCTCAAAAATAAATAAACGTTAAAAAAAAAAAAATTAAAAAAGAAAGAAACCGCTTTTCTGGAAGCCCCAAATGTAACTTTCAATTGAAATCATCAGGGAATATTTGCGGTTCTGGAAAAGCAAGAATTGGCACCCTAACTCAGGAGCCATCGAGTGACAGATGGCTTTATTGGCCTGAGATCTTTGTCTGCAGGCCTGCAAAAACCATCATGGAAACCATGTTTCGATATGTTGTGTCAATCTAATGGATATCATTAATCTAATGAAGTTATAACCTAAGTAATTATTAAATAAATACATATAATCTAATGAAATTATAAAAATTAGAAGCTATTTTTTGTCTTTTTTGCAGAGTCAACGGTTACAAGAGAGTTTGAAGAAAGTGAACCACATCAAAATCTTGGTACAGTATATATGATTTGATCCATTTTTGAAGTTAATAACTTAACGTCAGTGACTTGGAATGATCTCCAGATTGGGTGCATCTCAGTGGAATTGTGACAGCTCCAGTAAAACCACATTCTTCAGAACAGATTCACGCACCAATGACCTAACTCTACAGAGAGCACAAATCTAGAGATTTGTACCATATGCTGAACCCCTGCGGTGCTTTTCATACAATCGTGTGTAGTTTTGTTCTGTTAAAATTTAGAATTGCACAAAAATCTAACAAACCCTATTGACTTCCTCTGCCCAGTGATTTTAGAACATTCATATTACTGAAATGAAAAGTCATTTTGTCTCTCATAGTGTTTGGGGCAACTTTTTCTGAAACCTTCTGACACCAGAGTTTTCATTTGCACAGATTGGGGAATAAGGAAGAGATCAAGTGGCCTTGTTTTTTATTCCCCCAGTATCCTCCTAAAATATGCCAGAATCTATCAGACATTGCTGCTTAAGGGCAGTTATTAGACCCAGGACGTGAGGATTTAGCAGGGCTAATAACGAAGTATCAGTTCAGGTTTGAATGTTCTCATGTTTTGCCTCGTTATATTTTAGAATTTCAGGAAATAGAGGTCAGATTCTAATTTAAATAAGGCCACTGAGTGTTACTTTGACGATCCTGCAAGATGCAGTTAAGTTTAAAACTAATACTTAAGTTTTTCTGGGGTTCGAGTTGATATAGTTGATTCCATTTTAGTGCACGGTTTGCTTTAAGTGCCTGAGGGGGGCGCTGCTGTGCGTTGCCTTCTGAGTAGGAGCTTGGAGCCTTTTCAGTTGACCTGAGATGACCCAGGTTCTAGCTTGGAAGAGGAGAGTGGCCCCTTGGAGAAGCAGAGGGATGAATGTAAGTCAGGAGACTTGGGTTCTAATTTCAGCCTTACCACTGACGCCCTATGACATGGAGTCATTTTCTTTGCTGCCTAAGCCTGTGAGCTCAGTTGTCGGCAAAGGTATGTTGGTTGGACTCCTTTGGTTGTAAACAGAGAAGCCCAAACTGGACTAGCATGAGCAAGATGGCAGGAATCAAGGCGGTGCTGGCCTGTGGACCTTGTTCCCCTCCCTCACTGAGCCCACTTGGGCTCCTCCTCACGTCCCCTCTGCCCCCCTGTCCTTCTCCAGGCAGGGAGATTGTGCTGGTGCTAGTTAATCACCAGAGGGTTTGGAGCATCTTTGGAAGGCGGTACGCGGTCCGGGCATGAGCCCTGCTGCATCCCTCCTTCCCGTGGATGCTCGTCTCCGTAGATACACAGTAACTGGCAAACACCGTGAGGCACTGTGACTCCGGTAATAATTGTCATCACAGCAGCTGTTCGTGAAATGCGCGCCGTGTACCATGTGTACCACACGTGGCGCCCAGCACACACGTTCCTTCATTTAACCCTGACAGCAGCCGCCTTCGTATTTGCTCTTCCTTCTACCTGGAAACACTGTTCCCTTCAATTCATTTCATGCCTGCTTTCTTACCCTTGAGGTGTTTGTTCAAGTACCCCCTCTTCAGAGAGGTCTTCCCTGGCCATCCCCCCTAAAGCAGGCCTACCACCGCCCCTCACTCTGTCCCCTGGGTTTTGTTGTTCGTGGCAGTTATTACTACCTGAAGTCGTATATTTGTTCATTGTCTATTTTTCTCTGTCAAAGCTTTGTAGAGGCAGGGACTTTTGTCTTGTTTTTGTTTCATGGTTTTGTGTACTGTGCCGGGTACTTGGCATAGATACTGGAGCCTAAGTCAGTCTGATCTGGGAATCGGTTGCAGCGGCTGCCGCATCTTTACTGGCGAGGGAACTAAGGCACAGAGAAGTTAAGTGACTTGCTCCTGCCACACAGCTAAGATGGGATAGAGCTGTGATTCACACTCCGAGGCCCGTGTTCTTAACCGGTGGACCAGTCTGTGTCCGGTCAGTTTACAGAAGTTAGCACTTGTCCTCCTTCAGTGGCTCGTGACGAAGGGCGTATCAGATAACGTATGAGAAAGCAACATGAAAATTGTAAGGCACCGTAAAATACAGGTCAGTATTAAATGTCTTCTGTCGCCACGATATCTGTGTAGTGCTTACATAGATACCGCGTCCTCGGGTTCTCGAGATGTCACTGTGGTAGAGCGGTGTTATTTCCGTCTCTGTGTGGCGGTGTGGTCGTGTCCTGAGCCACATGTTGGTATGTGGCACAGCCAGGACTTGACCCCGGGGTGTGTGAGATTAGCCACGTCTGTGCACAGTGGCTCCTTCCGCAAGCTCCCCGGGGGTCTTCTTGCCCATGTAGGCGGCCGGCCCTGGGGGAGCCTCTCAGGCCCGAAGCGCCGACCCGCTTCCCCAGCTCACCAGGGGCCGGGGCCGCCTCCGGGGCACAGGGAGGCCGCGGGGAGCCCCTCTGTCCGTGTGTCAGTGTAGGTCTTGTCCGCAGCCGCCACTGAGGCTGCTGTTGTGCTAGCTCGGTGGCACGTGGGCTGTGTCCCACACTCGCGCTTAAGGGGGAAATAGGGTATTTCACCCTCACACCTGCAAGTCTCAGCCCCGTGCGGCATTTACGTCTCTGCTGTCCTTGAGGCTCTCCAGCTTCTGCTACTTTGACCGTGGCCATGGTGTGTCCGAGTGAGGACTGTGTAGATCCTGCTTGGTTGGGACTAGTGCTCATGTAAGCTGAGGAGTCTTTTTTTTTTTTTTTTTAAATTCTGTGCAGTTTGCGTTTTCATATATGACCTCCTTCTCCGATCTCACCAGCATAGTGAACATTGTCACGGGTCCGTCTTCCTTCAGCCCCTCTCCTCCTTCCCGCCTCTGCCTCCTGTCCTGGCACCTGAGCAGCCTCTCATCTGTGTCGGCCGTGTTTTCACTTTCAGTGATACCTGCCTCCTTCCAGCGTGTTCCCTTGAGCTCTTGTTAAGTCATTGTTCCCTTTTTGGACATCCTTTTTTCTTTTTCTTTCCTTTTTTGTTTTTGTTTTTATGCTTCCTGGTCCTCATTTCTCTAAGCACGGTTGTCAGAGTATGTTTCCTTTTGGAGCACAGATTGTCCCTTGTTGCGTCTGCTGCCGGGTGTGTGCTTCCCTTTTCATTATGAGCTGCATGTTTTTCTCATGTGTGACAGGCGAAGGTCCGTCTGTCAGTTCCACAGCTTCGGGACTCCCGCACCAAATGGCACGTACGGCCCATGGCAGTGCATACCTGACGTTTCGCTCTGTGGTGCATTTTACTCCCTGTGTAGACGGAGCCTCAGGCCGCAGGAAGCCCTCTTGCTGGTCGGCAGATTGAGCTTTTCTGCCCCTCTTCTCCTTTAGGGGTCCTGGCATGACGTGCGCTCACCACCATCTGCACACGGGCCCGAAGACCCTGGGCGTTACAGCGGGTTCCCCTCCCTGCTCCCCGCTCGCCAGCCCCTGCTCCGCTGACGATATTCTTTGTTTTCTTTCTCGGGTCACTGTTTTTGTGAGCTTAGCAGTGGTTATGTTGGATTTTTTGGTTTTTGGGGGGTTTTTTTTTTGGTTTTGGTATATGTCATCCAGCATTTCAGTCTGCCATGTTGCTAGAGCCAGAATTCTCTGTTTATAACCATGTACAGTATTTCTCATGCACTGACATTTGAGTCCACTGAGCTCAAAGAAATAAGAAACCAAGACTGTATTAGACTATATATAGAAGTCTGGTTACTCAAATCATCCTGCTTCATTCATCCTGAGGTTCGGGGAATGGGCATAGAATTTTATTGCTTTTGTTTCTATTTGCTTCTTGGATTTACTCCATTCTATTTAGATATTAAGGCTCTCCAAGTGTTAAAAGTACTAAGAGAAAAAAAAAGCATTAATAGATTTATGTTCACATGAAAGGTAAAGGAGATGATAGATAGGTAACACAGCAATCAGCTTAATAAGGTGGCAAATTTGATACACATCTTGCTTGGCCTAAATCACATCCCTGTGTTCCGTTGACAGGTTAACAGCCCAGACCTTGGGCCAGCTACTTCCTGGCTTTGCAAGTTAGCATTTCCACTATGGAGACATCACACGCAGAGCCTTGGAAAATAGGCTTTATAACTAGAACTGTTGAGTGCTTAGACATCTGTCCCTGTGTGCCATATTCTGTCAAGAACATTGCTGTTCCCTTTGTATCCTGACCCCGTAGTGGAGCTGATGAGCCGCTCCACTGTTCGATGGCGTCCGTGAACTTAGTGCTGGCTTGGCTTCATGCAGTGAACATTTTCGTCTGTGATGAAATCTGCTAATGAAGTTAGTCATTAATGAAGTTAATGAAGGACGCCTGTCCTGAACATAAGTACCACTTCAGTGATTTAGGAAATACTTAGACTCAGCTCTAGACTGTTTATCTTCATTACCAGCAGGACTTACATCCTGTTCTGAGAGTTTTACAAAGTGAGAAGAAAGGAGTTTTCCTCTTTCTGTTTGTGACTATATAAAAAGTTTCAGGGGTACCTGGGTGGCTCCGTCGGTTAAGCGTCTGACTTCCGTTCAGGTCATGATCTCACGGTTTGTGGGTTTGAGCCCCGCGTGGGGCTCTGTGCTGACAGCTCGGAGCCTGGAGCCTGCTTCGGATTCTGTGTCTCCCTCTGTCTCTGCCCCTCCCCTGCTCACACTCTGTCTCTGTCTCAAAAATAAATAAGCATTTAAAAAAATTTTTTTTTCTTAAAGTTTCAGTCCTGTTTAAGTTAGCATAATTTCTAGATTGTTGAAAGCTTCCACTCTCCCAGCACTGATTCTGGTTCTTATTTTTCCTCTTCTTTGATCTTTAATGGCAGGCCTCTGTTTATTATTATTACAGTTTGCTCCTGCCTTAATTTCAGTATACCTCTGTCAGATGTCATAATCCAGGAATGTGTTCTCAGAACCGGCTTATAATTATTTCTAGGAATTTTACTAAACCCTTGATTTCTATTTCTGTAGCAACTGAAATTAACCTTTGAATTTTACGTGTTTACAAAGAACCTATGCTATCTGTAGCCTGCTTTTCAAACTCACTGTTTCATTTTGCAGGTGTTGGATGTAATGTTAATTGGTAACATCGGATTGTATTTTTCAGGTGGAAGATGAGCTCAGCTCTCCAGTAGTGGTGTTCAGATTTTTCCAGGAATTACCAGGCTCAGGTAGGTGACTTTAAAAAGCATAATTTTTGTGTTTGTGTCTAAGGGCTTTGGATTTTAAACCATTTCAAGTTACATAGATAGTCCAAAATATTTTGACTGCTAAAATCTGCAGTCATCATTTTTTCAGAAAATGTTAATGATTTTCACAAGAATTCTGGTCCTAAGTGCCTTAATAGCATTTTAGTGATAGTTTCCTGTGATCAAACCAGTGGTTTCCAAATGCCAGTCCCTAGACCTAGTGCTAGAATGAGTGAAGAGAGACTAGGATGCGTGCACGGGTACACACACACACACAAATAACCTCATGTTTTCATGCTCATTTGCCATCGTGTTTTTAATGTATGTTTACACTGTATTTTAAATTATTTAAAACGTAAACTATGTTAAGCATAAAAAAGAAAAGAAAATAGAGATTTGGGGGCTCTACTTCCTAGATACTTTGATTCATGAGGTTGGATCCAGGAATCTCTATTTTTACAGGGTGCCCCAGCGCCACCAGCCTAGTCCAGGGCACTGTTACTTCTCACCCGGACAGCCGCGGTCCCCGCTCGACTGATCTGTCACTTCTGTGTACTGCACATACCCCATTCCAGCCCATTCTCTGCATGCGGTCAGACTGGGCAGTACATGTGGGAATCCATTCGCGCCCTTCCGCTGCCCAGACCCTCAGTTTCTTACTATTTGTAGTGAATAAGGTCCAGACTCAGTACCAGGCCTTGTAAGGCCTATGGAGTCCAGCCCTTGCCGTCTTCTCTGACTTCCTTTTAGGCCACCTCTCCTCTCGATCATTGTGACTTAGACTGGTCTTCTCTGAGTTTCTAGAATATTGTGCCCTTTCCTAGAGCAAGACCTTTGCACTTGCTGTTCCCTTTACCTCGAGCACATTTCCCTTCACTCTTCTTCTGGCTGGCTCCCTATCACCATTCAGGTCTCCGTTAGGTGCACCTCCTTAGAGAGGCCTTCCCTGTCCATGCTAAGGCGACTCCATCATGCTGTATCGGAGTCCCCGCCTTCTTTCATGGCACCAACAACAATATATGGTGATTTCAGTTCTTTCTTTATGGTATTTCTTCAGTAGAATGTAAACAGCTAGATGACACTTCCTTATATCTGGCGTGCCCAGCACACCGCCTGGCAGGAGTAGGCGCCCTGGCCATTTGAAAGGAGGAGAAGTCTGTTGTGAGGCCCGCTTGGGGTGCTCTCAGGTGCTCTGACTTCCCTCGCATAGGGGTTGATAGACTAGCTGGTAACTTATAGTGTTACATTTTGATTTCCTCTGGAAGTTCCTTTGAAGAAAAACTTCGCAAATGAGACTAAGAATTCTATTTGTGAGACAGTATTCAGGTGTTATATTTTCCCCGAGAAAAAAACTGGAAGCTTAAATCCCCTCCTGTGGGCGTCTGGGTGGCTCAGTCGGTTAAGCATCCGACTTCAGCTCAGGTCATGATCTCCCGGTTCATGAGTTCGAGCCCCACATCCGGCTCTGTACCGACAGCACGGAGCCTGGAGACTGCTTCATATTCGGTGTCTCCCTCTCTCTCTGCCACTCCCCTACTCACGCTCTGTCTCTCTAAAAATAAAGCTAAAAAAACCCTTCTGTAAGATAAACACATGCAAAAATTTTTACTTGTGGTAAAATGTGTACAGTTAAGTAATGCTGCACAGATTCACGTGGTTGTTCAGCAGCCCTCCGGAACTTGTACGTCTTGCAAAACTGAAACTCCACACCCCTTAGACACTCCCCTCCAGCCCCTGGCAGCCACCATCTACTTTGTGTCTCTGAGTCTGGCTACCTCAGGGTCCCCATAGAAGTGGAATCATACAGTGTGAGTCTTTGTGTAACTGGCTTATTTCACTTGATGTAACGCCCTCACGTTTCATCTGTATTGAGCACGGGACAATTTCCTTCCTTTTTAAGGATGGACAACACTACACCTGTATGTACGTACTCATTTTTTTCTATCCATTCCCTGTGACGTCAGCACTTGATTTCTGTAGTATTTGAGGCTTTTCTCCCGGGTTAGTGTTGGGAGCTCAGTGAAAGGGGCTTTGAGGAGCGTGTGTGGAGCTGTGTTTCCGGAAGGTGAACCCTCTTTTCTGTGTTTTGGTGTCAGATCCAGTGCCGACAGCTGTCCCGGTGCCTAACATGGCACCTTCAACGGTCGGCAGGGAGAGACATTCCTGTGATGCTCTGAACCGCTGGGTAAGAATGGGGGCCGCGTGCTCTCGTCTGCATCCCAGATGGAGTGATGCGTGGACGTGTCTGGGAAGTCGGGCCCGTAGGAAGGATGCCTCTGCAAAGGCACTGGGCTTCCTTCCAGGGCTTCTGATCACATCACTGCTCGGCATGCCACGCGAATTCCGGCAGGGCCTTGCAGAATCATTCCCTCGGTGACCATTTCCTTGCTGCTACATAGTAAGGCCGCAGACTACCCGCACGACGGGGACCGCGGCTGTGGTGGGCGCCTGGAGCGATGTTAGGAGGCCCGAGAGCCAGAGCCCCCTGACCACCGGGCACCTGACAGTGTGGACCGAACGCACTGTGCTGTGGCTGCCTCGGGACACTGAAATTGTGCCTCCGGGGTTTTTGTGTCAGGGCGTCCACCACAGCTGTGTCGGTCCTACCATAACGGGCTCCTGCCCCGCCTCGGGCTTCATGAGGAAGTTAGGATACGTTTGTGCCACGATATCGAAACAGCCGGAATAAACTGTTTAGCTGGACATATACGGCAGAAAGGAAATGGTCATCGCACATTATAGGAAAAAATGCAGGTTACCACACAGCATGTCGAACAAAACGTTTCGCGGCGATGGAAAATATAGAGACAGAACGGGATGGGTATATTACGTGTCAACAGTGGGTATTCTCACTGGTGCGTTGTGGGTCATTTTTATCTTATTCTTTGGGTTTACCCATATTTCCTAGATTTGCCTACAACGAACTTATATTTTTTAGTAATTAAAAACATAAAACTTAGTCTCTTTAAAAAAAAAGTTGCCGTAAGTAAGAGAATGAGAAGATTTAGGGAACCTCGCCCCTGGGAGTCTCTTGGGTCTGGGGCTGAGCGCATGAGGGTCTGTGGGGGGAGCCGGGAGTCCCTCCGTGTGGGCCCTCGTCACTCTGCCCGTGTCCCCGCAGCTGGGAGAGCAGCTGAAGCAGCTGGTGCCTGCAAGCGGCCTCACCGTCATGGACCTGGAAGTGGAGGGTGTGTGCATTCGGTTCAGCCCCTTGACGACAGCAGCAGGTAACCAGCCATTCTCCACAGTTGTCCTCCCTTGTTCCGGGAGCGACACTGACGTGTCCGTTCAGGTCCATGCTGTGGCCTGGTTTCCTTTCCCTTGTGATACTCTTTTTCTTTGAAGAGGCTTTTTCTTTGCCTTTGGGCTAAATTTGGGTAGACGAGCTTTCCAGCAGAACTTCCCAGAAGTAGACTTCTAAAGTCACTGGAGTTCCTATGTTTTGGCGTCCTGTGGCCCTTCGTCTTCCCTTCTGTGGTTCTCTGGGCACACCTCACGTGAGACTCACCCATGGAGCTTTGCCAGCTGCCGGCGGCCGGGCCCCACCCCGGGGATTCTGGTCCATGGGGCATGGAGCCCACGCGTCTCTATTTTTTTTTTT